TTTTTGAGCATATGCTTCATAACTCACCATGTGCTCATGTGGTTTACATAGGTATATTAAATCCATGCCTAAGCTATGATTTGAACATTTGGTCCACTGTTTTAATTACCAAATATTTCCGAAACTAAGGGTTTATTTTGAAAAAGAAAAGTGTCTTTGGGGGAAGATCTATAAAGCCTAATTTTCTTCTAAAAAGACACTTGTGGAGAACTTTACCTCCTTGAGGGGGAAAAAAAGGCAAAAGAGAAATGCAAATTGACTCTATAACATATAGCTTATTCTTTTCTATGCAAACTTTAATTTTCTACATTTAATGAATATGTATCTCGGCAATGCATTGTTTAGCTAATTTCTTCTATTTTTCACTAGCTTAGTTTCATGTAAGAGAATTCTGCCATTTTACATCTTGCAATAACCAATTTCGATCTTTGTTCCACTTAGCTTTGGGAGTTGGCTTTTGAAGAATCACGTGGTTGAGGACGAGAACATGGCAACATTACTCATGATGGGTACATGAAACATAGAGCAATTACAGAGCGATTAACTTCCCATCAGTTTGGGTAGAGTACATGAAACAGATTTGCAGGATTAATGGAGAAACACTAGGCAAACATAATTTGAGTAGTGATGGCTGGTGGAAATTTATGAGAAAGGATTTGCATAAGCAACTCAGTGGAGGGGTTTTGAGGACCATGTAGTTGGAAAACATAATGCAGTACATTCTATCCTCGGGGAGACAAATACTTTCATGCAGTATCAGGTCCTAAGATACTTGTGTCAAAGGAATACTTTTTAAAACAAACCTATTGTTGTTAGAATGCGGGTTCTGTCTCTAACTTACAAATGGCATTTTTCACAGTGATGAATCTTACTGCATGAAATTATTTTCTTTTATGGCACAGTAGGAGTAATGTCGCACTACTGATATTTCTCTAGGGATTTTTCATCCTGTCATTTAATATATATCTATGAACACAACTTATCGTGCTAGAGGCTATAGTAACAATGGTACATGAAATCTGATTGAGTTCCTACTTTTTGCAGCTTGAAGTCTAATGGAGGACACAGGCATTAATCACATAATAATTTAAATAAATGTGAAATTGTAACTGTGATAAAGAAAATGCACGGTGCTACTATGAGAGTAAGTGATGGGATTTGCTAAGCTAAATCCAAGTGAGGCAATCCCCAAATTTTTAAATATTCATATTTAAGTTGAAATTGTTCAAATTAGTATTCCCATAATCTTGTTTGTATATTTTCTCTCTTCCATTTTCTAGAATTCAGAGAATTTCTAGTTCAGTTTTCAATTCTATGCCTGAATCTCCTCTCCTCAATAAGATCTTTCTTTTTCAAAGACAAGAAATTTATTCACTTCTAAAATAGCTGATACTAAAGGCACACACCCTTATTTTGAGATGGGCATCTGATTGTATTGTCTGTGCAGTCTCTGTTTATCCTTCATTTTATGAGAGAATCCTGACTTTGCTTTGGGAAGGTATGAGAAATGTCAATCAAAGTCCTTGCTGCTCCCTGGCTGAGAGGTAAATTATTCCATATCCTTCCAGCAAAATTCTCTTTTGGTTGTTAGTCAAAGTCACTTCATTTTATTTATTTTTGCAACCTAATACCTCTATTAGATACAGCATGAGAAGCAAACCAAGTGTCAAATATGTCCCTTGATTAGATACATTAACCGAATGGACTTTTTATAATAATATTCTGATTGGATTCTGAACTGGATAGATTTTGAAGAGTTGGATTGCTAGGACATAAAAAATATACAAGGAAAATATAATGTTATGGTGGTCTCTACTATATTACCAAAAAGCATTTTGAAATGCTCTACAAAGATTCATGACAACTATTCTGAATAACAAAGCTAAATATTCTATTTTATAAACTGTTCTAAATAACAAATACCCTGAAATGAATATGGAAGCAAATGAAAAATTTGGATGCTGAAAGATGGGGCCCTTTCTATCTAAAAATATTAATTGCAAATATGGCTTCATGCCCAATAGTCATTCTAATTTGAAACTGCCACCTTGGCACCACCAGAAATCACCACAGCAATGGTGGCCTGGCATTCTGGCAGAAGTATCACATTAGAGCTGCCATGGACAGCTCCAGCCTCTGACATGGGGTCAGTTGGATTTTACATGCATGACTCCTTCTTATTCATAGACTAGAGTATGTCTTCCAGGCTTTATAATGAGGAAGGGTCCATTGATAAAAATACCATATGTTGGAGAGTTGAATGTTGGAGAGTTTCTAACCCAGCATTATTCTGAGATAAGTTAGCTGTGGTTTAATTTTCATAAGTACTAAGGTTTTCCCATTATTTATTTACTTGGATGAGTATTTGCAGTACTCATGACTTTGATGGTCTTAACTACCTAATTAGAAGTTTGCATGCTTATAAATATTATTGGTCTACATCCATGGCTATTTTTGGATCTTTACTAACCTTACGGTTCATCTGTTTACCTTTTTCTCTCTTTTGTAACTTAAACACTGTTCCACAAAGAAATTGACTTCTGTGAAGATATCAATTTATTTTATTTTATTATCATTTTATTTTTTTAGGTGGCTGGCTGGCACAGGGATCCTAACCCTTGATCTTGGTATTACCAACACCATACTCTAACCAACTGAGCTAACCAGCCAGCCCTTAAAACCTGAGTTTGGAACTCAGTTTTCTAAAATCTTGTGATGATGATAAAACTCTGACACATGTGGATTTTCTGTTTAAAAAAACAAAGATATATACTGATTGGTAATATCTGTAGAATTCAGGTTCCTGTAGTTATAATGCCTATCAAATATTATAGGCATCTTTTGCAGTAAAGATAAATGCATGGTAATGTTCCCTTCCACTCATATTAATATCACTCAACATTTTTTGAAGCTGTGTATGAACCCCCACCTCAAAAGGACCACCAGACTAATTGCACAGAAATATGCTTTCCTGAGTAGCTTATCTCATACAACTCTTCTTTCACTTTATTCTTTTGTAACACAAGAGTGGCAGTTTCAGGATGTAAAGCAGCCTACATTTCTTGAGCACCTACTATATCCCAGGAACTCTCCTAGACTTTTTAAATACTTGGAACATGTCAAGACTGATAGCTCTGGATCTGGACAAATTTATATTTAGATCTCATTTCCATCACTTTCAAGTTGTGTGGTCTGATATATAAAATTCAGTCTCCTTTTACCTCTAATTTCAGCAATCGGACTTACCTGGCAGGGTTAATTTGAAGATTTAAAAAAGAATATAAAACACTTATCACTGGACCCCACAGATAAGAGCCACTTAAGAAATGGCAGCCATTATTATCTTTATTAGTCCTCACAATAACCCTGGGAGGGAAGAGCCATTATCTTCACTTTATTGATTAAGAAACTTTAGCTCA